TATGGCTTCAAACCGTCGAAGAGGACAATCGGTCGCCGATTCTTCACCAGCGAAACGGCGCCTGAAATTGATTCCGATTGGAGACAGAAGTGAACGCCTGTTATGTATGGTATGCCCGACACAGACAGCGCACACACATCCAGTCCATTGTCTTTCACTCATTTAGTTGTTTTAGTTTGCATTTGAAAACCACTTTTGTTTTGTTTAATAAAATAAATGTCACTTAAATTGTGCCCTAATTTTGTACTCGTATTGCTTTTGCCAATAGCCATAACTTATTTTAATGCTCTATTAATTAATTTTAATTCATATATATGATTTAAAATTATAAACTTGATTATAACGAGAGTAGACTATTTGTTTTAAACTTATTAAAACTTTTAACTCCAAAAGGGGTGTAAAAATGTTAATTTATTTGTCACTCTTTAAGCGTAACGTTATATAAAAGCGTTAATTTCAAAAATTGACACTAATTTTAAATACAAAGTAACATTTATGATGAGTGGTGAATATAAAAATACTATAAACTATAAGGGGTTTCTATTTATAAATCATTACACCCTTTATAAAGGGGGCAATAATACAAAACTATATAACTTTCGTCACGGCTTTTGTGTGCAGTAAATAACCCTTTATCTGAAGCCAATCACACGCATTGACTATAGACTGTGTTAACTAAAAACAGCGTTTCGGTACTATTACTAGACATTACTCTATAATGAATAATAGTTACAAAAAGGCACTAAACAAAGTTTACATACAATCGCTATATTGGCTCAACACTGCAATACTAAATCCCAGATACAGTAAAACACGTGTTCATATGAATTGAATTAAATTAATAAATCAAACAAAACAAATACACACAAAATTACCATCAAATAAATTACACATATAATTAGCTAATAATTATTGCACAATCGAATCAGTCAGTGATTTACCACGTGTTACGTACACCTCATACACGATAGCGTACACTATAGCGAGTGTGTAATGTATAAAATGTGCGGCATTTTATCGGCCATTGAATGTGCTTTTGATTGTTAAACAATACACAGAGTGTTGTGTTGTGTGAGCACAAGTGTTGTTGTCTTTGAAACACACGTTATTATCACATAAACAGACAATTTGTGACCAATTCTTCATTCAGATTATCTCATCGATGGTTACCGTCGACTACTAGTGGTCGCGAAGAGGCCAACGATAAGCTCTCAAACATAACAGCGAGTCTTCGCTCCGCAACTGATCGTATTTTAAACTCTTCTGCCGACCAATGCTTTTGGAGACAGTCATCGCGCCATCACTTCATTATCATTAAGTCAATCGGTGGTAAGTGTTGGCCAACGCCGTTGTCTTGTCATCAATCTTAATGTTGTTGTGTTTTGTTGTTTAGCTGATCCAACCATGACATCGACGCTCACCACCGCCGCCGTCTCTGCGGCCGCCACTGATGTCAGTAGTGATGGCGATAGTAGTGTTGCCAACAAACCTGACCTCAGAGTCCGTATCGTGAATGTGGACCACTATATGACTGAACCCAACGTCCGGTTCGACGATCTTTACTCTCAGTTCAGACAGTCTGAGACCAAACGAGTGCCCGTTTTGCGTGTCTTCGGCACCACTGATGACGGTATGTAACCATTGTTTGTGTACTCTTTTCCTGTTGTTATTGACACTTATTTTGTTGTCTATGTTTAGGCCGAAAGATATGTCTTCACATTCACAGAGTGTATCCCTATTTGAGCGTTAAATTTGATGCAATACTAGACGACAACTATGAGTACAATAAACAACAGTTTATGAGCCAATTGGTGGCCGGACTCGAGTCCTGTCTAATGCCGGCCAGAGTTCGCACACGCAATGCGGCCAAAGACTCGCCCAACGATCACCTCATATACGACATCCAAGAGGTGGACGCCATGTAAGAGAACAGCCTTTTAATCATAAATCATTAGTTTATTTGTCAATTAATGTACTTTTATTGTCACTAAATTGTAGCCCATTTTACGGCTTTCACGAAAAACATGACAAGTTTTTGCGGATCTATTTCTACAATCCATGGACTGTTAAAAAGTAAATATTGTTTTATACGTTTGCCGCCAAATCTGTTACTTGATTGTAACGCATGTCTTATTCCACTTTTGCAGAGCGAGTGAACACTTACTCTCCGGCGATGTTATGGGCCGACAGATCCAACCGTTTGAGGCACACATTCCGTACACACTTCAGGTAATTATAATTGCATTTGATTTAAGATAACAATTGGATTCATAATGTTTATTATTTGATCCCTAGTTCTTCATCGACCATAACTTATATGGTATGAACTTTTTGGACGCCAAACGTGTAGTTTATCGGCAAACAGATTCAATGCCCGATTGTGTCAACTATTCAGACATAGAGCCCATGAGTTCGTGTCAATTAGAATGTGATATAGATTTGAATGACATTATGAACAAAGACGTGGTGTTGGATAACAATCGACGCATCCCTGGTTTGGAGTCCATTTGGAGGGAAGCGTTGAATCGCTGCAAAGATTCCACAGAAGCCCAAACCCTAAAGGGATTGCCCTCTCAGGAGAGGACAGGGGTTACTGTCACCGAACGTGAGACCAAACTCTTGCAGAAGCTGTTCGACGGTTTGTCCAAATTGGACATCAAAACCGATGATAACTGTGACTCTATTGGCGAAACACAATTCGCTGAAATGATCGTTAATTGCATCGATAATAATACTGAAGACTCATTAAACCAAATCAATGACACCATCAATGAAGTCATCAACAATTCACAGACACTTTCCATCAATCATACCATTGAAGACGTCATACATAACTCTCAGAACGAGATAATTAGTCAAACCATTGAAAGTGTTGTCAAAGAGTCGGCGAAACAGTCAAAGTGTAGAAAACAGAAGCGAAAGACAGCGTCCAAAGGCGGTGCGTCCAGAAGGCGACTCATTCTTCTTAGTTCCGGCAGTAGTGCTGACAATAACGACGGCCAGAGATCAGACGTGAGCACTGAATTAGAGGACACAGAATATGACCGGAATGTTGTCTTTACCGACGCCTGCACTCAGACAGAGACGGGCGACGAAGATATGATGGACGATGCGATGGATGGACTGTTTGACGACACGGAACAGCAGCTGCCGGCCGAAGAAGTGGTGTGCGATTGCGATTCGGACGAGTGCTGTGACCAGTGCTGCGACCGTCAGTCGGATCAATGCGAATGCGATTGTGAGAAATGCGAATACGAAAAGGTCGGACGTATTCCTCAATTTGACGGCGCTTTCGACTCGGATGACGAAAGCGGTTCCGACTTTAAGCCAAACCGTAAGGACGAGAGCGACGACGAGTCCGACTACGAGGCGGCGCCGAAGAGGGGCCGCAAGAAGCCGACGCCCAAAAAGCGGACGCATAGCTCGCGTTCAAAACCGGCGCCCAAACGGAATAAGACATCAATCACGCGGGCGTCAGACGATTCGGACGCCGATGAGGTCGACACGTATAACACGTCCCGATCGTCACGCCGTAAACCGGCCGCACGTCAGTCGCGCCAATCGCCAGATGTGTCCGACAAAGACGATGACGTGTTTCAATCGAGTTCCGGTCGAACCGTCAAAAGTACTTCTAAACTACTGTCCGCCCGACTCTTTGATCAGTTAAAGCCCACTTCCCGTACGTCTGCCGATAACGGGTCACCCATTCATATGTCGTTCTCGGAGTCGGACGGCTCGGATCGGGACACGAAGACCACGCGAGGAACGGGTGGAGCGCTCAGCTTTTTGGACACTTTGGCGCACAAGTCTTCGCCGTCGAAGTCAAAAGATAGACGTTTTATTGAAGACGAAGATAACAGATCTGATCGTTCGTTAACACCGTATTTGTCGGACGTGTCGGACGACAAGCCGTCGCGAACCAAACCCGGGCCGCACTCTAGCAAAGCGTCATCGCGTGCCGGCCCGGCCTCGTCAAAGCCCGGACCTAAGTCTAGCAAAGCCGCGCCCAAACCCGGACCCAAATCAAGTAAAACGTCAGCTCCGGTGGCCGCCAGACCCGGCCCTAAATCTAGCAAAATAGGGCCCAAATCGTCGAAGAAATCCGATTACATTGCACTCGATTCTGACCCGTCGGACGCCGAAGACTACTACACGCCGAGCGCGCGCTCGCGAAGAAGTGGCGCCAAAGCAGTCAATTATGACGACACTAATGAAAGGACATCAACGATATATAGCAGCTCTAAGACCAAACCCAAAGCCGCCGCCAAACGAAAGCCAGGTTTGAATTGTTTATTACGAAACTTATAAGTTTAAGATTTGTAACATTGATTTCTCTCATTAATATACAGCCGCGAGAACTACCGCTAAACAATTGGCAGATGAGGTGCAGTCCGCCATCGATTCAATCACTCCATCCTTTGATTCGGACGACAATGTGTCGGACGGGAAGAGCTATTCAAACAACATATTCAGCTCCACTTCGGACTACTTGTTGTCACCCAAAATGGTTTGGCGTGAGTTCGACGCCGATATCATTCAAGTGGACGAGAATTATTACCCGACGTCAACCATAGACGCTATGGTGACCACTGATCCCAAAGTGTCGTTCAAACTCACTCCAGACTATATCATTAAACCATATCTGAAGCGATACGATAATAATCAGGACTACTGGGACACCGTTCGCGCGGAGTTGGATCTCGGGCTCAATGGCGGCGGCAGTGGAGGCGGTGGTGGTGTCCGGAAGGGCCGCACCGGTGGCACCAAAAGTAAGGGTGCGCTTAAAGATTTTTATACTTTACCGCAATTGAATGAGAGGGCGATATCTAAAAGCCCCGAAAGGCCGGCGCCGGCCCCGAAAGCCACTACCGCTAGTAAAAAGTCCGCCACCAAAAAGCCATCCAATAGAGCGGCGGACGAAGTGGCGAGACTCGTGTCCGAGGCGTCAGATTTAATTAATAAACCGTTGGGCAAAAGGGGCGCCCAATCGAAACCGGCGGCGAAGGCCACTCCGGCCCCCAAACCCAAAGCGGCGCCAGTGGTCGCCAAGAAATCTGTGACGCCTAAAGCCGTCGGCGGCTCTAAGTCTAAGTCGAGCGCTAGTAAATCGAAATCGCGTGCGAAGAGCGGCGGCGGTGCAAAAGCCGGCGGTCGCGACACTTTCCGAAACCGTAACTCTAAGCGGTCGTCGGCGAGACAGCGGGTGCCGCGCGGTGTGACCAGCGCTACGGTGTTTAACGCCATTAGCATTCCCTTCTATGAGTCAGACATTGTGTCCGTCACTGATCTGACGGGACATAAGAAACGCTCTCATCTGAAAGCCCTGTGCGACGACTTTGAGCTAAATGTCGACAAACTGCCCGAACGCTATCTGAACCGTTATCGTCACCACGAGATCAGTCCATTCCTGTTCGACAATATCTATTACAACGACTACAGCGGTCTTCTACCCAACGAAGAATCGCAGTTCACTCAGGATGTGCTGATTGTTATGAAAGAGTTGGTCTCGTCTGTGGTGTCGGTCTCGCAGTGTGTCAACCAAATAGTGAAAGACGTGGAGCAAGAGATAGAGCCGCAGCCTATGATAGACATTGACGAGTATTACGAGTCACCCGTCGATGAAGACAGCAATGACTGGAATTATGAAGAAGAGGAACAGGAGGTGATTGGCATCGCTGTCGACGAGTACGGCGTGGCTATCGGTGCCGTTGAGAAGAACAATGACCAGAACTATGAGACGACGGTCAATGTGTTTGAGAATGGGATCAACGGAACGGCTGATCCATTAAGCGAGGCATTGCTGAAGACTTTCTGTGACGATAATGACGACAACAACTCTACTGACGGTCAAGTGAACGGCGAAACTGCTCCCAATAACGGCGAAGAGGAGGAGCGCCAGCAGGAGGTGGAAGATAATGGATATGAAAGCCACGGCCAACGGGCTGTGCAACAGAGCGATGACGAAGGCATTGAAGAGTCTAACGAACAAATAGCCCAAGAAGTGGAGAAGTTGTGCGCTGACACTCAACCACAACAACACCGTTACTCCGAAATCACTCCATTGGAGAACTCGAATGATTCTTCTGTTGAACAAAACGCCGCCGAATATCAGACCAATCAATACGAAGGACAGGAAGAGGAGGAAGAAGAAGATGATGAGGAGGAGGACCCGAACTCTAACCAATCAAACGGTCTGCCCGGCGATCAATGTCTAGAGCCGTTCTCTACGGAACCGGTGAGTCAGCCGAGTCCACTGCGACAGTTCCGCATGTCGTCGACCAACTATAACACACAAGTGTACGACCCGTACAACAGCGGGTCAGCACCGGCTCAGAGTCAGCCGCAGTACCACCAGAACCCACTTCAGAATCCAATTGTGCCAACACTACAGGTGCCGCACAACACAGTCGGTCACTATCCCAACGCTAACCTCTTCGCCGCGCAAC